GGACAAGGAAGATAACTCCTCCCCTGCAAACTTTAGAGGAGTGACTATAGATAACAGACATTAAGAAACAAAGCCTTGGGGCTGGAGGGATAGCGCAGTGGGGAAGGCATTTGCCTTGCCCACGGCGGGTTGACCGGGGTTCAATTCCCCGATATCCCACATGGCCCCCCAGCACTGCCAGGAGTAAGTCCTGACTGCAGAGCCAGGAGGAACCCCTGTGCGTGGATGGCCTGGTGTGACCCAAAAAGAAAAAAAAAAAAGAAACAAAACCCTCTGCCATAGAGGCAAGCTGGAGGGTAGGAGAGTGGGGTGGTGGGAGAGAAACTGGGGACATCAGTGGTGGGAAATGTACACTGGTGAAGGGATTGGTGATGGAACAATGTATAACTGAAACCTGATCAAGAATAGCTTTGTAACTGTGTATCTCAGTGATTTAAAAAAAAAAAGCAAGCAAGCAAGCAAGCAAGCCAGCCAGCCAGCCTTGGGTCAAAGAAGTAGTAGTGCTAGAGTTAAGGTGTTTGCATTGCATGAAGCTGATTCAGGTTCAATCCAGACAACGCACAAGATCCCCTGAGCACCACCAGGAGTGATCCTTGAAAATAGAGCCAAGAATAAGCCCTGAGCACTGCTGGGGTGGCCCCAAACCAACAACAAAACAAAAACAAAAACGATGGACCAAGGAGCTGCCCCAAAGGGCTGGAGAGTGCTTTATACATAGGAGGGTAGGATTTGATCCTGGCCCCATGGGTTCCTGGGAGCACTATGTGGCAGTAGCCCCTGAATAGCAGTGGGTGCTCAAAACTCCAATGTGTTTTCCATTTTTTCCTCTCAGGCACTGAGGTGTGTTTCAGATGCCCCAGATATTATACCATCTTATGATCTGCCGTTCCTGCTGCCTGAAAGAAGTCCCTTTTCCATGCAAATGTTTATTTATTGATTGATTTGGTTTTGGGCCACACCTGGCGTTGCTCAGGGTTTACTCCTGGATCTGTGCTCAGGAATCACTCCTGGAGGGCCCAGGCGACCATAGGGGGTGCCAGGGATTAAACTCCAGTTGGCCATGTGCAAGGCAAATACCCTACCTGTGGTACTATCACTTCAGCCTCTGTGTAAATGTTTATATTTTAAAGATTTTATTTTTGTTTTCTCTCCAGCATCCATCACCTGAGCCGATGGAACCTTCTTCTCCTCTCTGTCCAGGCCACTGGGTTTCAGCTGGCCTCTAGGAGCGAGAGCTGTATCTGACCAGCTGACACCACGACCTTCTTTTGGCAGCAATTGGCTCAGGTCTGGCCACTCGACTGTAAAGCTTGGTTTGGCGTGGAAAAATGATCACCGTGAACTTTAGTGATCCCACACATGTGCAGGAGCTTCAGGAAACAGATGCAGTCTTTTCCGCTGATTTAAGCCTGAAAGAGAGAGAGAGAGAGAGAGAGAGAGAGAGAGAGAGAGAGAGAGAGAGAGAGAGAGAGACCCAGAATTTTCTGGAAACAATCTTGTTTTGCTCTGGAGAGTGAAGGGAATATGGATGGAGATAGATGATGGAAAAGGCAGGATCTCTGTGACATCTAAAGCCAGAGCCAGGTCATGGCAGTTCCTTATGCTAACAACTTTCCTAATTTTTTTCGGGGGTGGGTGGGTCATACCCAGCAGTGCTCAGGGGCTACTCCTGACTCTGCACTCAGGAATCACTCCTGGTAGGTTCAGGGGACCATATGGGATGCTGGGGGGATTGAAGCCAGGTCTGCTGTGTGCAAGGCAAGCACCCGACCCACTGTGGTTTTGCTCCCCCCAACCACCATTTTTATTTATTTATTTATTTATTTATTTTGGCCACACTCGGTTATGATCAGGATGTATTCCTGTCTCTACCCTCAGATGGGACTCAGGGAATCATATTCACTCACGGAGGATTGAACCTGGGTCAGCTGCATACCAGGAATGGGTCTTACTCCCTGTATTTCTCTAACCCGTTTACTATTTTTGTGTTTTTGTTTTGGGGCTACACCCAGTAGTGTTGAGGGCTGACCGCTGGCTGGACTGAATCAGGTTTTCTAGAAGACTATTGAGCCATTTTCCATAACTGGGCAATATTAACCTTGTTTCTTTAAAGCTTAATGCTATTTCTCTGGCTATACCTAACTGCTATGGAGGAGTGTTCTCTCTCTCTCTCTCTCTCTCTCTCTCTCTCATCTCCCTAGCAACTTATTTTAATTTTATTTTTATTTAAAACACGCTGATTTACAAAGTTGTTCACAGTTGTTTCAGGCATTTGTCCCAACTCCCTCAATGTGACATTCCCTCCACCAATATCCCCATTTCCCCCAGGACCCAGCAAATTCTAAATCCTAGGAGATCCCGTGTGTGAGGTCAGCAAGCTAATCCTCTGCTCTGTCCTGCTCTCCTATTTTGAGTGGGAATACATTTGGGGGTGTTGGGGGTACTCTCTGTGGTGCTGAGGGGTGTAGCATGGGGATGTAACGTGGGTCCTTGTGCGAGACTTCGGTCTTTGAGTCCTGTCCTTGCTTTAACTCTGCACTTTAAGGATACTTAAGGTCTGGCTGCAGGGAGCTCAGGGGTCGCTGGGGACCTATCCAAGAGCCCAAAGTTTCTGCACAGGCTTCTTTTCCTTGAAAGGTTCCACACCTGTCTCCTGTTAGGCACTACACTGGACATTATGCACTCATTCTTATATGCAACCCTTGGATGCCAGGGAGTGGGCATAGGTGAGAACACAGCCTCAGAAAGCTCAGGGATGAGGCCAGGGCCACGCTGTTCTGTAAGTGGGTTCTGAGACATGCGTCAAGGGCCAGAGAGATAGTTCGGGGATTAAGGTGCTTGTCCTGCACTAGGTCAACCCCGGTTCCATCCCCAGTATTCCATATGGTCCCTGCACCACTCCCAGGAGTAAGCTCTGAGCACAGCCGGGTGTGGCCCCCAAACCCAAACCAAACAAAAAACCTCAAACCCTAAGATGTATTTAAGCACGGCCCAAGTTTTGTTTGCTTGTTGTTTTGGTTTGCGGGCGGCACCTGCAGGCTTACTCCTGAGTCTGTATGTAGAGTCAGGGACAGAACCCAGGTCTGTTGAATACAACGGCAATGCCCGAGCGGCTGTACTATCTCTCCGACCTACTGACCAGGATTTGTGACCACTAGGGATGAACAGGCTCGGTGGGTGTCGGAGAAGGAACTTTGGGAACTACAGAGAGCATAATGAGTCACTTTGGAGATGCCCGGGGGTAAGACCGGGCGCGCTCCCAAGACTGCAAGGTGCCAAAGCGGCAGTCCCCGTGACCAAGGGATTTTCCGCGCCCAGGGCGGGCTTGGTGGAGGAAAGCAGAGGTGGGGTGGGGCTTCTCAGGGTCCGCCCTTGCCCAGGTGAGGTCGGCGTCCGCTGCCCGGGAAGCAGCGCCCCCGCAGTGTTCGCGAGGTGCCAGGCGCCCCAGGACTGGCCGCGCTGGCCGTGGCGCTGGCGTGGGTGGAGGTGGCGGGTGGCGCGCCCCGCCGGGCCCAGGTGTGGCCTCCGGGGGCGGGGTTAGGGAACCGGGCGCGGGAGATTCCGGGCCCGACGGGCCGGCATCGAGGGACTGAAGCCGACGCCAGGGGACCGAGCGCGGCGGCGCGCGGGGCCGGGGACCGCCAGCATGTTCTCCCGAAACCACCGCAGCCGGGTCACTGTGGCCAGGGGCTCCGCCCTGGAGATGGAGTTCAAACGCGGCCGTTTCCGACTCAGCCTCTTCGTCGACCCGCCCGAGGTGAGCGCCCCTGCCCGTCGCCCCCTCTGCGGGGTCCCCGCGGCCCCGAGGGCTCACGGCCAGGGGCGGGGACGCCGCGCGCCTAGCGCCACCCGTTGTTGACTTAAAAAGTAAGGCGCGCACCGCTGGTGAGTTAGTGGGACCGGTGCCACCCGGGACACTCCCTGGTCCGGCCAGGGATGAGTTGCCTCAGCCTGGAAAAACTCCGGTTGGCCTCCGCCGAAGGGGTTTCAGGCTCGATTCTCCAGTTGTGCCTGGGCTTGGCCTCGCCCGGGTAAAGCCGTGGCACGGCGCGGTGGGCACTGCGTCCGGGCGCCAGCCCCTTCCCACCACCGGTCTCAACGGTCCGGGGCTGTCCCCACCTTACTTCTCGATTTCCAGGCCGGCCCCTGGCGTCCAAACCCTGCCCGCTGCTTGGCGGTGTCCCCAACGTCTGCGGGGAATGTGCGTCTGGGCGCACCCTCTGCGCGATCTGGGATGGCTCTCCCCGACACACACACACACACACACATACACGCGCTTGCAGCCTCCAGGGAGAATTTCCTCCCGCGCCCACTGCGCAGCGCGTGGCCAGCCCCGAGCCGTACCTGCATCTCCCAAAAACTGCTCGGGAGGGGCGCACGGGCTCGGGGCTGAGCCAGACCCACAGGAGGACGCGCAGCGACTGTCCAGTGGGTCCCCAAGGTCACTTCTCCTCGCCGGCGGCGCCTGGAAACGGTTAAGGCCGGGGGCGGCCTCCCTCCCTCTGGCCGCGGGCTCCCTCCCCTCCGGGATTCCTGGCCGGGCTCCGGCCCCCTCCCCCACTCCACCCCCGGCGCCCCAGAACAAAGGCCCTTTCACGCCCGGGTCCTGCCGGCCCGGCCCTTCGCGGGCTCCAGGAACTAGTGGACCTGGCGGAGGCGGCTTTTGCCGGGGGCCCCCACGACAGCTTCGTGTGGGGCCCGAGCGGGGGCCCGAGGGGCGCGGCCCCAGCCCGGGAGGAGGGGCCTGTGCGCGGGGGGCCGCCCCGGGGGCTGAGCCGGGCCGTGGGGGGCCCCGCGCCGGGGAGCGGGGGCGGAGCTGCCGGGCCCCGCCGGCCACCGAGGGGAGCGTGGCTCCTGGGCGCGGGGCGGGGGGTGGCCGAGTCGCAGCTGGCTGGGAATCGGGGCCGGTTTCCTGTCTGGAAGGGAAGGGGCCCGCCGAGGGGAGCGGGGGCGGCCGCAGCCAGACGCTCCCCGGCCCCCCGCCCCGCCCCAGCGCCCCTTCTCCTGGGAGAGCGAGGTAACCGCCGGGTGGAGCTGGCTGGACGGGGCTTGAGGTCGCCCGCGGTGATCCCGGGGGGCAGCCGAGCCGCGTTCGTGCGCCGCGCCCCCCTCCCCGGCGTCCCGAGCCCTCTCCGCCGGCGCTCCCCGCCGGCTCAGACGCAGCCAGAGCCCGTCTCGGAAAATTCCAGCCCGGGGACCCAGCCCGGGACTCCGCAGACCTGCACGAGGCGGCCCCCTCCCTGCCCCCTTCCAGCTGTGCCTGCCCCTCACGCGCGGGCCGTCCCGCACACAGATTCTCTGTCCGCCCGGCCGGGCTGTGGGCGGGGGCCGGGGAGGGGCCGGAGTCGAATGAAAGGGCCCTTTTCTTCCACAGCTGGGAGAACAGCTGCCACCCCAGCGAGACTGGACACTCCGTGCCCAGAGCCCCCTCGGCAGCAGCCTATCCTCGGCGCGCTTCTCCTTCGGCCCATGGCCGGCCCGCGCCGGGTCCCGGCAACTGCAGCGGGCGAGGAAAGTTAGTCCCCGCGGCCGGGGGCGGGGGCGCGGGGCAGCGGCTGCCCCGGAGCTGCCCGCGGTGCCACGGCCAGGGGAGCCGCGGGAGGAGGAGGACTCGGGGTTCCGGTGGTGGTGGCTGGCGGCCCGCACGCTCTCCGGAGGGCCCGTCAGGGGAAGGGGCGCCGGGGCACAGAGATGCAGGACAGATTGCACATCCTAGAGGACCTGAATATGCTCTACATTCGGCAGATGGCGCTCAGCCTGGAGGTAACGCCCCCCACCTTTGCCCCCCTCATGCATCCCCCCTGCTCCCCGCCCTGCCCGCGCCTTCTGGGGTGGTGGGGGGCCGGCTGGGAGCGGGCGGGGACTCGGCAGGTGGGTCTGCGCGTCCTGCCCGGCGGGTGCAGTGTGTGCTGCCAGGCCGTTTGCGTTCAGAGCATCATGTTGGCAGTGGGCCTCTATACCTATATCTGGAAGCCTTGTGGGTGGGTATAGAGGTGGCGAGCGCCGGAGCGCCTTTTAGGGAGGGATGGGAAGACAGGAGTTCGGCGTGAGAGCCGCAAGGGCAGGAAGGATATGGTCAGCCTGGCGAAGGGGAAGGGGGCCTCTGGCCAGGATGTAGGGATTCTGGGCTCTGGACACTGCAGGGAGCACTTTACTTCATTTGTCTTGTTTTTGTTGATTTGTGTGCTTGGGATCTCATTTATTCCCAACACTGCTATCTACCCGGAGCTTCTTTCCAGACTTCAGTGAACATGACAAGAAAGTCTTGATTTTGTTTTTGTTTGGTTTTGTGCTGGGGTGGGGAATGCCACAGGGTGCCAGCGTCAAACAAGCCCTGCCCATCGAGTTGGACCTCTCTGGCCCAAGACTGCTTAATTTGTTTATGAACTATTCTATTTTAAAATTATTTAATCCGTTTCTTCTTCTTCTTCTTCTTCTTCTTCTTCTTCTTCTTCTTCTTCTTCTTCTTCTTCTTCTTCTTCTTCTTCTTCTTCTTCTTCTTCTCCTCCTCCTCCTCCTCCTCCTCCTCCTCCTCCTCCTCCTCCTCCTCCTCCTCTTCCTCCTCCTCCTCCTACTCCTTTTTCTTTTTAGGTTTTAGGTCCAGTGGTGCTCAGGGCTTACTCCTGGCTCTATGCTCAGGGATTATTCCTTGGCAGGGCTCAGGGGACTGTATTTAGTGCTGTGCTCTGCCCTAGTTTCTCTCTCTCTCTCCTCTCTCTCTCTCTCTCTCTCTCTCTCTCTTTCTCTCTCTCTATTTCTCTTCATTTCTTTTTCCTTTCTTTCCTTTCTTCCTTTCTCTCTTTCTTTCTTTTTTTGGGGGTGTGTGTGTCACACCTGATGATACTCAGGGGTTACTCCTGGCTCTGCACTCAGGAATTATCATATGGGATGCTGGAATCGAACTTGAATTGGCCGTGTGCAGGGCAAATGCCCTCCCACTGCACTATCACTCAGGCCCCAACTTTTTCTTTCTCTCTTTCGCCCCCTTCCTTCCTTCCTTCCTTCCTTCCTTCCTTCCTTCCTTCCTGTGCTGGGATTAAGTCTAAGTTCCTCACTGTGCAAGGCAGGTGCTCTGATTTTCAGCTTTCATCCCTTCATTGTTGTTGCACTGACCATTGCTGCACACACATGCCTGGCTGATGTGCTTGTTGGGGCTCACACATCAGTTTGTGGTGCTTGAACGCCTTTAGTTGTGCTTGCCCATGTGCTCACCTGGGGTCGCACTCTGAGTCAGGCAGGCAGGTTGTGGCAGTCATGCTCACTCGTGTGCACACGTGCTCACGAGTGGCTGCGGTCTTTCTGATCTGGCGTTTGTATCCTGTTAGTTGTGGTGCTTGCTGTGGGGTAACAGCCCTTTTTGTTGTGCTTACACACATGTGGAAATTGCCTGTGGGCCTAGGGATCACAGCAGCTGAGCTGCCAGGCTTACACTTGGCACACACAAGACACTGAATATTTGTACCCAAGGTTTTGTGCTTGCACTAGTGGCGGATGCTCTAAGCCCTGCACGATGCCTCCAGGCACAGAAAGATTTCGTCTAACTGAGAAAGTAGACAGTGCACCTGCAAAGCATGAATCTCACTAGTGAAATTACAATGAAAACAGGGAGATAGCGCAGAAAGCAGAGGAGGAGGCAGCATTAGAAATCGGGTGGGCCTGAAGTGGGTGAGCACCTGCCTTGCACATGTATTGTTTTTTAAATTTTATTTGTTTATTTTGGCTTTTTGGGCCACACTCAGAGGTGCTCAGGGGTTACTCCTGACTGTGCACTCAGGAATTACTCCTGGTGGCCCTCTGGGGACCATAGAAGATGCTGGGGATTGGCATCAGGTTGGCTGCATGCAAGGCAAGCGCCCTGCCCACTGGACTATTTCTCAGGCCCCTGTTTTTAAAAAAAATTTTATTTGCTTATCTATCTTTTTATTTATTTATCTTTGCTTTTGGAGTCATATCCGGCAATGCAGTGCTCAGGGCTTACTCCTGGCTCTGCACTCAGAAATTACTCCTGGCGGTGCTTGGGGGACCATATGTGATGCCGGGGATTGAACCCAGGTTGGCTGTGTGCAAGATAAACGCCCTACCCACTCAGCCCCTGTTTATTTTATTAAAAAAAACCACATTTATTTTGCCACCCGTGGCAGTGCCTGAGTGCTACTCCCAGCGCTGTGCTGGGTCCCTCCCAGCAGTGCCAGGGGACTCACTATGCCACGCTCACATTGAACTGGGGTCAGCATCTTCTTAACCTTTGCCCTGTCTCTTCAGCCTCAGCCCCTGGATTTGTTCCCAGGCCCTTGGTGGCATGCTGGGAGCTGCCCTCACAACACAGTAACAAAATTACCTGGAACTTTGTGTTTGTTTAGTTTTGGGGCCACACCCGGTCTGCTCAGAAGCCTCTCCCAGCTTTGTGCTCCAAGGTCCCTATTGGCAGGGCTGGGCAGAGTGGGAAGAAGACTGTGAGGAACTGGAATCACATCCAGGGCCTCACGCATGCCAGGCACATGCTCTGTCACCGAACACCATCCCCATCCCCACCTGCGAAAATGTGGGGCTAGAGAGATAGCTCAGGGGACTCCACACGTGCTCTACAAACAGGGATCCTGGGTTCGAGCCCCAGCACGTTTCCTTGAGCACCATGGGGACGAGCCCTGAGCAAAACCGGGTGTGGCCCTGAAACCCAAAAAGGGTTTTGTGAGAGTTTAGGCTGAGGCCAGTAAAGGATGAGTACCTGTGGAGACTGGAGAGAAACTCCAGCCAGAGCACACGGCAAGGATGAAGGCTCTGAGTGAGGATGAGGGTGATAGCTTTTGGGGATGAAGGGAGCCCTGCAGCTGGAACTCAGACTTGATGGGCAGGGCCCAGATTGTGCAGGATGTTAAAGGCAAGTCAAGGCACCTAAATTTTATTCTGAAGTGTGGTGTTGGCCCATGGAAAGTATTTTTTTTTTAATTTTAAAAATTAAAAAAAAATTCTCCTCCCCCAATTTTCCTCTTATACTTTATGTAAACACTGTGTTTTGTAAAGCTGTTTATGAACACCAGTCTCACCACCATTATACCTTTCCTCCACCATTGTCTCCCATGGAAAGGTTTTAAGCACTTCATGATGGAGAATAGTTTAGAAGGGGTGGGGTTGGAACAGAAGCAACAGGAGATACCCTGCAAAGACTCTGACAGCCTCAGGGAGACGATCTGGTGGTGTGTCTTAAGGTGTTTATAGTGAAGACCGGAAGTGGGTAGGTCTCAAGGGATGCTATTGGCACATCTGATTGGGGCCTGATGATGGATGGGATGTGAGGGGGAGGAAAGAGAGGGAGAGTGATTCCCTCTTGTGGGGATAAGATAAACAACTGAGGAAGATGGAGGGAGTTGTGGGGGGGAATTCCTGGACTAGATTGGGGGGTGCTGCCGAGGCAGGATGGTAAAGAGAGGAGCTCAGGAGAGGCTAGTTTTGTCTTTTTGGGGGGCCCACACCCTGTGGTGCTCAGGGGCTGCTCTCAGCACATTGTACTGGAGTCATCACGGCTATGCTGAGGGACCTTTTGGTTCTACGGAGCACCCCAGGCCTCATGCATACAAAGCACATGCTCCAGCCCTTTGAGCTCTCTCCCTGGCCCAGGAAAGGCTCTTTCTTACACGCATCCTTCCCCATACCAACCCCATCCCTGTCCCTTGGATCAGAATGGACATTACCAGGCCAGAGCGATAGTACAGTGGGCAGGGCACTTGCCTTGCATGCAGCCGATCCCAAATCAGTACCAGGCACTTCATATGGTCCCCTCAGCCCCCAGGTTGATCCATGAGCACAGAGCTAGGAGTAAATCCTGAGCACAGATGTGTGTGGCCTTCCCCCCCCCCCAAAAAAAAAACCTAAAAAACAGAATGGACAGTATTCTGTCTGAGCCACTTGTGGCATCCCTTACCAACAAGCCCAGATATGGCCTTTTAATTTTCTTCTCCACACAAGTTCCCTTTTGCCAATGCATCTGGAAGGGACATTTTTCTTTTTCTTTCTGGGTCACACCCGGTGATGCACAGGGGTTACTCCTGGCTCATGCACTCAGGAATTATTCCTGGCGGTGCTCGGGGGACCGTATGGGATACTGGGAATTGAACCCGGCTAGCCACGTGCAGGGCAAACGCCCTACCCACTGTGCTATTGCTCCAGCCCCCTGGAAGGGACATTTTTATCTTGTGTTTGCCTGGGGAAGGCCACCTCTTTCTAATATGCAGAAAGCTACTATTATTTTGTGTTGGCAAATGAGGTAAAATCTATTGCCATTCCTATTTCTCTGGACTGCCCATGTTGCTAGGTACGGGTAAATATTTGTTTATTTTTGCCCATACTACTCAGTGCTCTGGGGCTACTCCTGATTCTGTGCTCTGGGGTCCCAGCCATGTTCAGGGGACAAGCAGGAAATACTGGGACTTAATTGTGTGTGTGTGTGGGGGGGGGGGTTTGCCACACCCAGTGGTGTGGCTTACTCCTGTCTCTGCACTCAGAGATCACTCCTGGAGGTGCTCAGGGGACCATATATGGTGCCGGGGATCAAACCTGGGTCAGCTGTGTCCAACACAAATGCCTTGCTCTGGCTCCAATACTGGGAATTAAGTCAAAACTGCTAACACGCAAAATATACACTCGGCCTATTGAGCTATCTCTCCGACCCATATATAATGATTTAAATTCGAAATTTTTTGTGAATTAAAATGAAGTAAACGAACTTAGTTCCTTTGTTGATGTAGTTACATTTCAAGTACTAGATG